AGCAGAAAGTTAAAAGAGGAAGATCTTATTCATAGGAAGGAAATGGCACAAAATGTGAAGACAAAATAGGTTAAAATTCATATTTTTGCCTAAAGTATATTTAAGATAAACAAAATACTTGCAAGTAACATAAATCCACTTGCCTTCCTCTGAACTAGCATGCACCCAGGGAGCTGGCACCCAGCAAGTAGTCTAATGAAATAATACATTAGAAGGATTGAGTCAGAACATACTTCCAGAAAGTTGCTACCATGTAACACAATCACCAACTAACTACATATAATCATAGGGCCACAGGTTGGTGCAGCTGAAAGGGACCCAGAAGACCACCTCACCAGGGGGGTGGGAAGAGAAAGAACTTATATGCATATAGGCATAAACAATGGACACTGACAATAATGCGGTGAAAAAAGGAGGGGTGCGGGAGTGAGGAGGAGGATGTCATTGGGGGAAAATGGGAGGGACATCTGTAATACTTTCAACAATAAAGTTTGTTTTTTTAATTTTTTTTAGAAGACCACCTCACCAGCACCAACATTTCGCAAAACACAAACTAAAAAGCCTAGGCGACCTGTCCAAGGTCACACCCAATTAGAGGTAGATGCCAAACTTGAATTAGGATTTCCAGTTCAGTGCTATTTTTTGTTTGGTGGGGGGGGGAGCTTGTGTGTGTGTGTCTACAAAGAAGGGGAGTGACATGGGACAGTTCCTGGAGTAGACGAGGCAAAAGTTCCTAACACTGCAAATAATGTGTGCTTGGCTAGCAATCAATTCCAAGGTTGTCAAAGCTGAAAGACTTTCCCCTAAGGACAGAAAACATGCTACATTCTTCCTCCTATGAAGGCAGAGAAAGATATCCCTGATGTCAAAATGACCACTGCTTTCAGATGTTTTCCACTTACCCTTCAGAATGGAAATGAGCCCAGATTTCTTCCTCAGAAGAGTTAAGCACAGAGTCATCACTCAAACGGAGCAAGCAGCTTGCAGAATGGCTGCAAGGAGTTGGTTCCTAGTAAACAGATTAAACATTATCGCTCTACTTCATACCCTCAATAGATCTCTGTTCCGTGAATGGAATAGTATATTATAACTGGCATAAAATAGGCCACCACTTTAGTTACAACACAGGATTGTCCAAATAAACAAGCATTAATCATGCACATTATGTAGAGCATAATGCTTCAGAGAGCTTCTGCAAGCAGCTCCAAATGAACTCGACCAAATTATACCATCTGACAGCTGTTCTGTGACCTGTGGGAAATGAGTTGGTGGTCTCAGTCCAGTTCCTAGTGGACAGGTGTCCAAAGCACAAAAACTACCCTCACAATTGGGCCTAATTAGCAACCTGGTTGTTGCAGCCGCAGTAAAACCTGGAGTCCATGTCACTGCCGTGCTGTTGGAGGCTTGTCTCGACATCAGGTGGCATGCGCTGAAGGCTCAGTGCAGAAACACTCACAATGGCGCCTGCACAAAACATCGTTGCTTCAGGAGAAATAGAACTGTGTCCAGGACTGGCTCTGCCTCTCGCCTGGCTCCCCCCACAAGCCAAAGATATGAGAGACAGGGATGGAGTCCTGGGCACTGTTTTAATCCATGAAATTAACGTGTTTCTAACACTTAAAAGTGCTGTGAAGATCCACCTTTCATTAGAGCAACGGACTCATCTATCACACAAAAACTTAGATTTCCCTGGAATCCCAACCATTTCTCAAAATCTCTCCCTTCACCCTTTGGCCTAATTTGAAACCTGTTTCTGAGGATGCTGCCTCCTTCTGCAGCCCACCTACGTGTGCAGTTGCTGTTCTCCAAGACTCTACATACCTCAGCATCAGATGATGCGGAAGGATGCTCCTTGTTCCTAAATATCACTTTCAGGCCATTCCTTCCCTGCCCTTGCAAACTCCTTCTCCGACACCCAAAACATTCAGCTCTGCTCCTATCTATTGACCTTCCATTCAATTCTCTTGCTCTGAAAAGATATTAACTCCTGGCTTACAGTCCTCTTCTTTTCTCTTTCTGATATCATCAGTGATTTCAACGTCCACTTACAAGAACCACAAACATCCTGGCTTCTCAGTTTCTCATCTTCCTCACCCTAATGATCATTTTCTCCTCAACACCACAGACACCCACTCACATGGCTATTCTCCAGACCTTGTCATTACCAGAAACTGCGCCACCTCCAAAAATGTCAATTCAAATATTACCCTCTTGGACCACAACCAGTCATTCTCAGGTCATTTTGTTACAGAATCATTTTTACAAGTCTCCTGCTACATGTATACCAATACACTGGCCCACAGCTTTTTACTATTTATTGACTCCCCCTTTCTCTTTTCTGAGGTCATAATGGTGCCTCACTTTTCCTCACCTTTTACATCCAATCTAACATCAAGTCTTGACAACTTTATCTCAAATTATATTCACTTATTTTTTATTTGCCATTGTATCCCCAGTTTCTGGCTCACAATACAGACTCATAATATTTTCTGAATGAGTTAAGCACTAAAAATAAATGCTGGGGAGTCGCACTGCTATGCTTAGGACGTAGAAGCACAAGACAAGATCACTCCCACACTGACAATCAAAAAACTTAATCATCTATGAAATCATAAGTTTTATTCCCCAGCAGAGAGCTGAAGTTGCAAGCAAGCCAAGGAAACTAATTACAAAGAGGAACAAAACCAACAAAAGGAAATAGGACATAGGATAGAGAAATGGCCACCACAGAAGTAAATAAGAAGAACTCAGCTAAAATGTTTGTTTATAATGGCCAAGTGTGGGCCAGCATGACAATTTGCTATAGGAAGGACGTCTAGATATAAGAGAAATTTTGTCTTTATACACGAGAATTTTTTCACAGGCTTCCACCAGCTGATTATAAGAAAGCTTAAAGGCAGGGTAGGAAATGAGACAACCCCCCTCAGAGGGGCAAGTGTGAAGGAGATGATCATCCAGAAGGTGTCTCACATCCAGGACCAATCAGAGATATAGACAGAGTTTGGTTGTCATAGGAAGAAGGGCAGGAATACAAGAAAACACCAGCCCAGTTGGTGTCACTCAGTGGTTGAGAATTGACCCATGTACTAAGAGGTTGTCAGTTCGATTCCAGGTCAGGGCACATGCCCAGGTTGAGGGCCAAATCCCCAGTGGGGGACATGCAGGAGGTGGCCAATTGATGTTTCTCTCATAAATGTTTATATCTCTCTCTATCCCTCTCCCTTCCTCTCTCTAAAAATCAATAAAGAAAAAACAATTTAAAAAAAAGAAAAGAAAAGAAAGAAAACACCAACCCTATTCCCAAGCATACAGAACCTGCTAAGACTAAGGCTAGGCTAAGACAACAGAGAACATTCCAGTGACCCCAACACAAGTATGATACTAAGTAATGAGCAACATCAGTCTACCATTTGGAAAGGGGAAAAAGCGTGGAGAGAGTCCCCTCCCTGATGCAGAATGGTTGAAAGCTAGAGAGTAAAGAAGAAACACTAATTTTTAAAAAACCCAAACAGTCCCCAATCTCTGCACAAAGAAACAGCTGCCAAATACTAGAGAAATTTAAGCCTGTGGTGCACTGAAGGAAATAATAGCCACAACAAAATCCAAGCCCATCTCCACTCCAGACTAGAGTAATTCAACCCCGTACTAACAGCTTGACAGGAAAAGAGGCTTGCCCATTTTTCTTGGTAAAAAGCCATTCACTAAAGTAAATCTATATCTATACATAATGTCTAACAATCATACAGAAACACCAAAACAAACATAAAATCAAGGGGAAAACAGCCTCTTGTCAAGAAATAAAGCAATCAACAGACCAGACTCAAGGATGATCCAGTTATTGAAATACTTTCAAATAATTATGATTAATATCTTTAAAAGCTCTAGTGAAAAAAGTGGACATATGCATAAAGAGATTGAAATATCAGCAGAGAGGTGAAAAATATAAGAAAAAGTCAAATGGGAAGGATAGAAATAAAAATGCAGTATCCAAGATGAAGAATACCTTTAATAAACTAATCAGCAGACCAAACAGAACTGGAGGAAAAAAGAATGAGTGAATTTAAATATAGAGTAACAGAAACTACTTATACTGGAGAGAAGGAGAGAAAGAAGCAACCAAGTACTGTGGTACGATATCAAATGTTCTTACATGCATTTACTGAGAGTCACAAAAGGACACGAGAAAGGAATAGGGAAGAAAAATGTGTGAAAACATAGTGACTTAAGGGGTAGCATGAAGGAGTTTCTATTTGGTAATGAAACAGTTCTTCATCTTGATTGTAATGTCAATTACACAAAGCTACATATATCATGAAATGTCATAGAAATATACAGCAAAAAAAAAAAAATGTAAAACTGGCAGAATCCAAATAAGGTTTGTAGCTTATTTAAGAGTATTATACCAATTTCCCAGTTTTGATAGTACTAATATTTACTGTGCTATAATTGAAGGAAGCTGTGTAAAGGTTACAAGGGAAATCACCAATATTTTGCAACTTCCTGTGAGTCTAAAATTATTTCAAATAGAATTTCTTTAAAGACAATGGCCAAAATTATCCAAAAATAATGAAGGAAAAGAAATGACCAATACAATAAACCCAGAAAACTTCAAGCAGAATGAATAACACTACACACACACACACACACACACACACACACACCTAAATTCACCATAGTCAAACTGCTGAAAGCAAAAGATGAAAAGGTAAAAACAAAAATGTTACATACAAAACCAAAAATAAGATTTACAGAAGACTTACCATCAAAAACTATGCAAGTCATTGACGATGGAGAAAGCTCTTTAAACTGCTAAAAGATGGAAAAAATCAACCCAGAATTCTAGACACAAACAGAATATTTCAAAATTGAAGAGGAAATAAATTTCTGTGCAAATAAAATCTACAAAATTTATTTCCAGCCTACCTGCACTACAAGAAATGTTAAAGTTCTTATTCAAAAAATAATATTACAAAAAATAATGGGTAAAGAATAAATTTTTCTCCTGCATCCGAAAGTGATTGTGGGCTGCCTGTGCCCTGGCCACTGACAGTACTGAGAGAGAATGGCTATAAGTAGTTTTTCCCGAGTTTGAAGGGTCCAGCTGTCCCTTCTTAACCCTGGTACTTTCACATACTAGAAAAGAAAAAATAATAATAACTTTTCAAAATATAATGCCAAGCCCAGCTGGTGTGACTCGGTGAATTGAGCATTGTCCCATGGGCTGAGAGGAACTGGTTTGATTCCCAGTCAGGGCACATGCCCAGATGACAGGCTTGATCCCCTGTAGGGGGTGTGCTGGAGGCAGCCAATTGATGTAACTCTCTCACATCAATATTTCTATCTCTCTCCCTTCCTCTCTCTCTAAAAAAATCAATAAAAACATATTTTTAAATGTTTAATATATATATATATAATGCTGAAACAATCAATTGTATTCCCATATGCAAAAAAATAATAAGTAAATAAATCTTGACCTTTACTCACACCATATATAAAAGTAAACTCAATATGGATCACAGGTCTAAAAGTAAAACCTACAACCATATAGCATCCAGAAGAAAATCTTGGTGACCTGGGATTAGGCAAAGATTTTTTAGATATGACACCAAAAAGCAAGGCAAAATTAGCCGTGGGGTAGAAGAAAATATTTTCAAAACACATATCTGATATAGGACTTGTGCCCAGAATATAATTAGAATTTAATATAAAAATTAAACAACCAATTCTTAAAAACAGGAGAGGGGAAAAAAACACACACTTCACCAAAGTAGAAATACAGATGGCAAATAAGTACATGAGAAAATGCTCAATATCATTAGCAATTAGGGAAATGCAAATTATAACCACAATAAGACAATACCTTACACCTATTACAATAGCTAAAATTTAATTTTAAAAATAACTGACACCAAGTACTGATAAGAATGTGGAGGAACTAGAACTCTCATACATTGTTGGTGGAAACACAAAATAGTACAGCCACTGTAGAAAACAGTTTGACAATTTTTTATGAAGTCAAATGCACACTTACCATATGAACCAATGGCAATATGAACCCAAGATATGTACCTAAGATAAGTGAAACATACATCCACACAAACACCATATACAAATTTCTACAGGGACTTTCTTCATAATTGCCAAAACCTGGAAACAATCCAAATATCTATAACCACCTTGTAGATAAATAAACTGTGCTACATCTGCGAAATAGAATTCTTCTCAACAACAAAAAAGAATTAACTTCTGATACATGTGTGATTCTCAAAAGTATTATGCTAAGCAAAATATAATCAGAATGCTGTTTTATTCTATTTATATAACATTCTGGAAAAAGCAAATGACAGGACAGAGATCAGTTGCCAGAGCTGAAAGAACTGACTACAAAAAAGCACAAAGAAACTTTGGAGAATGATGAAAATACTCCACATCTTAAATACATTATATGACTAGATACTTGTTAAAACTCATCAAACTATACATCTAACAGTGAATTTTACTGTATTCTCTCTAAATTCATGTATATTTTTACAATTTCATAATAAAAGATTTAAAAATGAGTGTCAATATTATGCAAATGTTCTTCAGCTTTAATTTGTAACAAGCCATATGTTAGACTGCAAATGCAAGAATGCAATGCAAAGCGAGGCACAGACTGGGAGCAAAACACATTCTGATGAGAAAGGACTTGTGCCAAAATACATAAAGAATTTTACACACTACTAGATTTATCAGGGTGACCACTTCATAACTTACAGGTCAAATAACTATGTTGTACACCTGAAATTAATATAATATTGTATGTCGATGGAAATTTTAATTTTTTAAATTTGTAATGTGACATCTGTGAAGTGCAACAAATAAAAAAAAATTACCACTCAATTATGACATCCTATGTTATACATATGTTTTATGTATATGTGTGTGTATATTTACATGTAGGAAAATTTTTTCCTACTGAAGTTTCATGTAGTAAGAAGTCTAGGAAAAAGCTTTTGTTATACTGAGAAGATTTTAGTATCGATATTTTCTTTCTACTAACAATAATTTAAGATATCCCAAGTAATGTCAAGCGTATCCCAGTCCTTATTCAAGTGCTATTAAAAAGATAAAAATTAAATAATTTTATAAAATTTACTGGCATACCAAGGCATCTTGAGTGACGGGAAACAATTAGGGAAATCATGACACAAAGTTTATTAATTCCCACCTGCCCCCCAACTTTCCACACCAAGTACAATACCTTACCTACAAGAACTACTTGATGAATGTCTACAGTTGTTTTTTTTTAAAATATGAATCTTATTTGTAAGGGGCAAGTCTTAAGGAAAATCTGAGGAATTATACACTTGATATTGCTGTGCTTTAAAGAATGAAGTCTATTATAACATAATAGCTATTATAATCTTAGTGAATTGTCTGCAGGATTACCAGGGCCATCATGTATGGTTGCATCTTCAACAAAGGTATGTAACCCTGCAGGTTTGGATGTACTTGGAAATACAGCTCTTAGTCTGTTGCAAACCTTATGTCATCACTGATAGAAAGTGTCACCTTTTTTCTAATGATCCTCCTCAACGGGAACCTTTATGTAATTTGTGATCTCAGAGGTTGCACCTTTTTTTAACACACACAGTTACTGTGAATGCTACAAATGGACCTAAAGACCATTACCCCCTCCCCTTTAAAAAAGAATGTCAGAATAACCACCAATGATAGGAATTAAATACTCCACATTTTTCTCCGTTTTTTCAATATATCTTATGCAGAATACCTCTGACAAATATAGGTAGAAGAGAACATTAATGTTGCATAAGAAACCACTGACTTGATCTTTACATTTCCGTGTAATTTGTATTATCCAATCACAAACAAATGAACAAAACTCCCTCTACATACATACAGAATTCACTCCAGGGAAACCTGATGTAAGATTTTCCCATCATCCTTAAGGATGGTCAAGTTTTCATTGTTCTCACTGAGCTGTAAAAGCTGATCATCCTGTATATATAGCAAAGAAATGCCTGAAAACTGTAGCAAAATAAGATTATGTAGAGAATTTGCAGTCAATTGTCATTGACAGTACACTGAGCTTAGGGATACCACACAAAAGTATCCTAAGTATATGCCACCACTCTCCTCCTGCCTTCAGCAACCATAACAATAACTTCCAAAAATCTTTTTTTCCCATTGCATCTATAAACAATTAGCATCTCTTTGTTAAACTCTAATTGCTCTTCTTACACAGCTGTGCCACTGTACAGCCCAAGAAAGAGGGCCCAAGTGCCAAGACAGTTATTAATAAAATAATGCCGTAACAAACTGAAAGGGCCTGGGGAGTTCAAGAAAAACAGTCTCCCCCACATCCTTTCAGAAAACTAAACCATGAACTGCATCGTAAATGCTGAGTTTCTCCATCCTTTTCTCTTACATATAAATCCAAATTGGGAGGCACAAGAATACAGCGGTTAAGAACATGGCCTCTTGAGCTATTATATTGCCCGGGCTTGAATTCCAGCTTTTCGCTTTTCCACTGACAGCTGTGCAACTGGGGCATGTTATTCAACCTCTCTGTGACTCAGTTTCTGCATCTATAAAATAGGGCTAGTAAAAATTCATAACACTGTGAGGGATGCATGGCTTAACACCTATAAAGAGCTTAGAAAAGTATCTTACATATATTAAATGCTTGATATGTATTAGATCAACAATATGTGTTGTTTTTATTTATTCCTGTATATGTTCCCTTTATCAGTTTGTTTATTTGTTTTTCAAATTTTTACCTCACACCTGCAATCTACTCACATCCCCAGTGACTGTCAAAGCTGGGGAGTAGCATTCAGCTGCACACAAACTATCCATTAGAACTTCAAAATCACTATGGCTGAAGCAAAAAAAAAAAATTATTTTCTGGAAAATAGTTCCAAAGTACTGGCAATATTCATTGAAAATATCAAGTCATTTCTAAATCTTAGAGTCTTTCACCCTTCAAAGTGATACAATATAGGATGACAACATTCCCATCCCTTTCTACTTGAGAAACTCTAAAAACTGTTTGTCCCAGAAATATCTTGACATGTTAGAAGTTTTCAGCTTCAGGAAATAAAACGTTCTAGAGTGGAAGATTGAGATATTTACAAATTTGACATGAAATTACTTCACTTAGTATAGAAGAAAAATGCTTTTCAAAAAAAAAAAAAAGCCTGAGATAAAATATCCCTATATATTTTAACCCAGATTTAGTCTCTATCTGTATGCCCCACAATCATATAACCTATTTTGGAAATCCAATAATCAATAGTATCGTGATACTGAACTGTTTACAATAACACTGAACTGTTAACTACCTCTGTGTGCTAGTAATTGAATTTCTGACAATGGATTAACAATAAAAACATTTTATTTTTTACAGAAGGACTGTAGGTAAACGGCCTACTCCTTCCTCACTTTCTGTCATCCTCGGTAGGCATTTCCATCCTCATGTTGTAGCTTCAGGGCCACTAGATGGTTGCACCGACTACAGATTATGAATTCACATAACATATTCTAAAGAAAGAAGGAAGGTAAAGAGCCTCCCCTTGGGCATTTTTCTATCTTTTCTAGAAGAACCCCTCACCCCAGGTCAGCAGGACACTTTACATCTCATTGGCCAGATCTGGATCATATGGCTACTCTTACCTGCAAGGAAATATGGGAGAGTAGGTGTCTGGTATTCCCAGCCTTTTTCGTGGAAGGAGGAAAAGGAAGAAGGAGATGGTTATTGAGTGAACAACAATAGCATCTACCACATGTGCATATAATATCCTTTCCCTGACTTTCCTTCTGAAAAACTCTTGATCATCCTTTAAGACATGGCATATCTGTTATTCCCTTGGCAAACTTCCTGTGACATGGCCCTAGGCAGTGCTGGGTGTTCACATTCCTTACTGATCCAATATTTCTGTATACACATGTACATGGATATGTCCCACTTTGCATTGTAATTGTCATTAATATGTTTCCCTACTACAGAGTGAACCTCAGAAACAGGACACATATATCTTAACCACTATACCCCAAGATGGTGGGAGCAGGGAGAAGAAGGTCAATGGGGGGAAAGGGGAGGACATCTGTAATACTTTCAACAATTAAGA